GCTCTAGGCATTAGTTTATCATGTTCAGTAAGACATTTGGCAAAGCATAAACAACCAATAGTCTTAAAATGAGACAGTAATGGTTTGCTACCATATAATCTCTCATAGGGAGTTTGAAAATCAAGTACACTACTAGGAAGTCTATTGATAATGTAGGCTGCTGCTAATACACAATGCCCCCAGTACTTGATAGGAATTTTTGCTTGAAATCTGAGTGCTCTTGTAACTTCAAGGAGATGTCTGTGTTTTCTTTCAGCCACCCCATTCTGTTGGGGTGTATATGGACAAGATCTCTGATGTATAATACCTAACCTTTGAAACATGCTTGCACAAGTAGAGTTTACAAACTCAATGCCATTATCAGACCTTATTGTCTTAACAGTCTTGGCAAATTGATTATGAACATATTGCACAAACATTTGTAAGGAAGCACAAACATCATATTTATGTTTAAGAAGAAACAACCAAGTCATTCTTGAGAAGTCATCCACTATAGTAAGAAAATACTTGTTTCCATCAAAAGTAGTTGTATTATATGGACCCCAAAGGTCTACATGACTCAACTCAAAACAATCACAACTCTTGTTACTGCTGGTAGGAAAACTGAGTCTAGTTTGCTTAGCATAAGGACAAACTAAACACTTAGACACCTTACACTGACTTTCTTTATTCATAGAAAACATTCTAGCAAGGACACCAGAAGAGACATGTCCTAGCCTTTGATGCCACAACTCCATATCTGTAGAAACTTGAGACACACTTAAAGTTATATCCCTTTGATTACTGACATGCTTTTGAGTATACAGACAACCTGTTTCTTCACCAATTTGCTTCACCTTTCCACTGTAAAGCTCCTGGAAAACACAGTAGTTAGGGAAGAAAGTAACTGAGCAGTCTAGCTCCTTTGTTAATTTGCTGACAGACAGCAAATTGTATTGGAAGTCAGGTAGATACAACACATTGGAAATAATACAATTATCTCCTAATGCACATGAGCCTACATGTGTCACATGAGTACTGTCTCCATTAGGTAAGTACACAACCTTAGGAACCTCTAATTTCGAAACAGTTTCTTTGATAAACATATCTAAATTAGATACCATATGGTTAGTAGCACCAGTATCTACAATCCACACTCTGTTAATATCAGGAACATGTAATGATTTACCTGCAGTATGAGCAGCAGCAGGTGTAGCATTACAATCCAATGAGGCAATGTCTGTCTTGTGCTGAAAACCTTTGAGAATGTGATCATATTGATCCTTTGTGAAAGTGCAACCCTTCAACAACTGCTTCACATCCTGTTCAGCTTGACTCAACAACGTAGAAGAATTAGAAGGACCTGGTACACCATGATCACTCTGAGAGCTATCAGATTTTCTTCCCCATCCTAGTACCTGCACATTCGTATTCATACCATATAAGAAGTGAACCTGATCAGGAGTGCCATCTGATGCAGTGCCTTGTGGCTTCCTTTTTTACTTGAAGTCAGGTGGATACCCTACTATCTTGTAGCAATACTCCTTGCTATGACCTTTACATTTACAAAAGTCACAGATCAAGACAGAGTTCCTTTTGAATCTTTGATTTACACCTGAGGTAGATTCATATTTAGAATACATAGCCACAGAGTCAGCACTAACTGTGTTCATTCCCATGCTATTGTTGTGAGACATCACTGCTTTTTGGCTTTCATCTCCTACTATCATAGCATAAGCATGATTAATAGTAGGTAGAGGATTTAGCATCAGAATCTGACTTCTGGCCTGTTGAAAGGACTCATTTAACCCCATCAAAAACTGATACAACTTCTGCCTATTCATGTGAGCCACAAATCCTTTCGATTTATCACAGTTGCAACAAGGTGCAGACACTAAAAGTTCAGACTCATCCCACAAGGTTTTAAGTCTTGTATAATACTCAGAAACGAATTAGTACCTTGTTGCAATGTTACAATGTCTTTGTGAAGACTATATGTTCTAGAGCCATCTACTCTATCAAATCTCTCTTTCAAGTCATTCCAAACTTGCAAAGCACTCGAAGCAAAAGCAACACCACTAAGAAGACTCTTAGAGACTGAGTTCATTAACCAAGACAATACAATGACATTTACCCTCTCTCATTGCCCCCACAGTTCTTCACCATAAACTTCTTTTCTACAGGATCCATCCACCAATCCTATTTTATTTCTTCCCAATAGAGCTAGTGTATTAGATCGATTCCACAATGTATATTCTCAATGCCAAGTAATTGAAAAGAGATAAGGCTAACACCACTCACATCAGTAGGACTAAGAAACAGAGGATGATTGTAATCAATACCTTGAGATGATGAGACTGTATTAGAGGGCAAAACGAAGGAACCAGAACCAACAATTTCTCCATTGTTGATACCTTGATTTAGTTCTTCAGCTACTCGATCTGGAGACATAGTAATCAAACTTGTTGCGGAATAAGAATCAAACTCACGTGAACTCCAATCTGCAGATCAACTGAGAATTTGATGAATCTGTGAATTGATAAAGCAACTCTCTGATTCGAATCTGTGAATCGACAAAGCAACTCTCTGATTCTTCAACCTAAAACACCTATCACAGCTCGTCATTGTGTATGGCTCTGATACCATGAACGTAGACACGATTTACAGAAGCTACTAGAAGAGAAGAAAGAAGAAATCCATTTATGAGCTCAAAAGGCTAACTTGTACAATGACATGAACATGTATTTATATTTGTTTATGTAACTAACTATTGAAGGAATTAGTTATAACAACTTTTAAGAGAAAAGACTATACTACCCTTAATCATCCTAACCACCTCTTAACTACTTAACAACCAACTACTTTGATGAAGTCTCATTAGGGGAGAATATTTTTTGCACTGTACACAAGTAAAACTGATCATGATACTGGACTAGAGTATCCTAGTTTAAAGATCATCCATACAAAAAAGAACTGATTTGTATGCATCTCTCTTGAGAGCATTAGCAAGAAAAGAAAGAGATGCTTAAAAACAAGAGTTTATTTCTAGTCATAGTTGGATGCTTTGATTTCCTTCCGTATAAATTCTTCCATTCTGAGCAAAAAAAATAAAAATCTTTGTGATTATCCTATAAAAATATAGTTCCGATTCATGTGCCTATTATCAGACACCAATCACCCATTGAAGTAGAAGTGTAAATTTGAGTGATCGATTAAGATTCAAGAAGGAAGAAAATGGGAAACGAATTGATGGTATCACAAAACATGAGTTTGGACATAAGATAATTCTGTCGACTTCTGGACATAACCTTTGTGAACAAATCAACTAGTTGATCTGCAGAGGATATATACCTAAGTTAATGCTCTGATCTTCAACTATTTATACGATGTGACGATCTAAGTCTATGTGCTTGGTATTTTCAGGATGAATGGAAGCAAACATTTATTTTTAGTATAATGGACTAGTCGTCCCACATAGAATAAGCATTTTTTTTTAATAGCTTTAGCTTCTCAATTTTATTTTTTTTATATCTAGTACTCCCTCCATTTTAAATTAATTGAACTGTTGAGGTGTTTCACACCCTTTAAGAAAAAGAAGATTTAGACATAAACTAGGCATAACTTTCCATTTTTACCCTTATTAATTATTGTCAAATTTATGATTAAAATAACTAAACATTAATTAATAGCTAATTCCAATTCTAACTAATGAAGGGTAAAATTGGAAGAACATTATAAAAGTAGTCTTGAAAATTAAACAATTAAGTTAATTTGAAAAATGAAATATGTCTCAACAATTCAATTAATTTGAAATGGAGGGAGTAACAAATAAGTACTCTTATTTAATAGTTTATTTTAGATCATAAGATTTAAAAATCTACGAAAAATCTTACACCATAGTTTAGTTGGTTGGCTACTTGAACTATCACATTGTTGCTTAAAGTTTGACTCTCCATTTTGTATTCCCCTTCCCACCCCAATTTTTTTTTAATTTTTTTTTTAAAATCTCCTCTCCTTCTTAAATTCCGTGATCAGTCAAACATGTTTTGACACTCGGACATTAATTAAGACATATAAGGCAAACTTACAAATGGTTTGCTTGGGGAAAAATGAAATTAAAGGTGCTTAGATAGAAAGAAACTTAAAAGTCAACCAATAACTAGAGTCAGCGCTAATATAATGTAACTTGTTCGGAATGGATCTTGCAATCCTCGAAAAGGAGGACGTGGGCAATTTGAATTTCAATCAACAATTTATAGAGATTATAACACTCTTGAAATCAAATATTACTATTATTACAAAAATATTTTCTTTCTTGATTATTATTTTCTTGACGCAAATTTTATGGTCAAACACTTGCGATCCTTGTAAAGGAAGACGGCGGCTATTTGGATTTTACATCTCTTTATGCTTTCGGTTTAAACAAATTCTCCTTCTAATTAATCATATTATATTCTAGTCAAATCATCTGAAATTTTCACCTTTTAGTTTTTCATTCCATTAATAGACTGATATACACAATATACAAGCATAACAAGCAATGCATCAAATCCCATTCGTGAATAATTTAACTTAATTTGGAAGATCAATAAATTGATTAGAGTAGTCAACACTATAGTTCATGAGCTAATACTATGGCAAGTTGCTTTCCGCAACCTCCCGCTCATAAAGGTAACTTCATATATACTTCCGTATCATTTGAGATACGCTATAATACCGATGTTTGTGTACGATGTGATTAATATATGAATACAGTTCAAAAAGTTGTAAACTTGTGATGTCTATGCCCACAGAAGTGATTTTTTTGCCATCCCCTGCAAGACTTCAATTAGAGATCATTAGTCTGCTTTTGTAGAATGAACTTGCATTTCCAAGGCTTGCTTTTCCAATCTTTATGGAAAAGCATTCTAGGGATGGAAGATGTTCTTTGGACAAGTATATATATAATGTCAAATGATAGCTTCTGGTAAATAAACAACAAACATCGTACCTAGTCCAAGACCAATATTGAGAAATTAAAGATGATTGGTTGCGGAAAATCTCTTAATTGTCTAGTGCTAAGAATAATAGCAGCAATATTTGTCTTCTTGATAGCAACGGTTGTGGCAATTAACGTTCCTAATCCTAATTATGCCGATGCCCTAACAAAAAGTATTCTCTTCTTCGAGGGACAAAGGTCTGGTAAATTACCCCCTAACCAGCGCATGACTTGGAGAAAAGATTCTGCTCTTCTTGATGGAGCTGACAAGGGTGTAAGTACACATAATATATGATATTCTCTCTATCTCAATCTACGCATCTTACTTTTTTTTTAGTCTGTTTAAAAAAATGTCACTTCCTATATTCAGTAGTAACTCTTTAATTCTATTAACTTGGCATGTTTAAGAAAAACGTGATTCAAATGACATGTTGGTACATTATATACATTTGATTCAGAAGTCTTTTTATTTTCTTAAACTACGATGAAGAAAGGATAATCTATCCGGTCATGCTCTTAATCTTGTTAGTACAAATACATATTACCCCAAATTTTAAAGAAACAAGGATTTTTTTAGGTGGATTTGGTAGGTGGGTACTATGATGCTGGTGACAATGTCAAGTTCCACTTTCCGATGGCTTTTACAACAACCATGTTGGCTTGGAGTGTCGAGCAGTTTAAAAATTCAATGGGACCAGACTTGCAACATGCCATGGAGGCTATCAGGTGGTCCACGGATTATTTCTTAAAGGCCACAAACATTCCCAACGTGGTTTTTGCACAAGTAGGTAACGCGGAGGGTGATCACAACTGTTGGGAAAGGCCTGAAGATATGGACACTCCTCGTACTGCTTTTGCAGTTACTGCACAAGCTCCTGGTTCTGAAGTTTCTGCTGAAATTGCTGCTGCTCTAGCTGCTGCCTCTGTGGTTTTTAAACCTACTGATCCCGCATATTCCAAATTGCTTATCAACAGAGCTGTTCAGGTAACAATATGCTACTAGCCATCAATTTTTTTGAAATATATTCACTTTACCATGACTACTAATATTTGGAAACAGAGGAAGTATTATTAATAAGACAACTAAAGTGTTCCTTTTCGGTACTACCAAACAGTTGAGGTGAAAATAATGCTATTGTTTATGCGCGAATTTCAGGTTTTTGAATTTGCAGATAAATACAGGGGATCTTACAATGATCACATAGGATCATGGGTGTGCCCATTCTATTGTGATTACAATGGATACAAAGTAAGTGTGAAGGCTTAATAATCTTCAAATTGTTTTGACATTCAGCAAGTTCTTAGTAGTCCTAATTGAACAGGATGAATTGCTTTGGGCAGCAGCGTGGCTCCTCAAAGCTACAAGAAAGCCTATGTATTGGATCTACGTTAAGCAAAACATAATAAACTTCAAATCAGACATGGAAAGCGGCTTATCAGAATTCGGATGGGATGCCAAGCATGCTGGTATCAATGTGCTTATCTCCAAGGTTTAACTAGTTAGAGCAAACTCTTATTTATTCTGCATATATAATTACTAACTCTGTCTTCGAATCAATCTAACATCTTTCACTTTTGTGGGCATTACTACAGTTTGTTCTCGATAACCCTTCAAATGCTAACCCCTTCCTTCCATACGCTGATACATTCGTCTGCAGTGTATTGCCTGAATCTCCCACCAATACAGTCAGATACACTCCAGGTATAGTTCCCCCCTCCCCTTATCTTCCACTTCAAAAGCAAAAAATGATTGTACTAATTGTTTTCAACCTCAATTCTTTTTTGCAGGTGGACTCATGTACAAATCAGGGATTTGTAATATGCAAAATCCAACAGCTCTGTCATTTCTACTCCTTACCTATGCACGCTACATGAAGAGCAGAGTCATTCGTTGTGGCAACATTGATGTAACTCAAAAGATGCTAATTCGTTTTGCAAGAAGCCAGGTATTGTAGTGTGTGTTACATATTAGAATAACAACAAAATCGTGACAAATTTGAAAAAGAAACTAAACTGATGGAGTTACATATGATATCTGCAGGTGAATTATATTCTTGGGATAAATCCAATGAACATGTCATACATGGTTGGATTTGGAACAAAATTTCCTCAAAGAATACACCATAGAGGGGCTTCATTGCCGTCTATCGATCAACATCCAGAGAAGATGGGATGTAAAGAAGGGACACCATATTTCCTCAGTGAAAATCCAAATCCCAACTTGCATATAGGAGCTGTGATTGGAGGACCTGATATCAAAGATTATATTGTTGATTCTAGACCCAATGCTGCCCAGTCAGAACCAACTACATATGTAAATGCACCACTTGTTGGCCTGTTAGCTTATTTTAAAGCACATCCCTAGTCCTGAATACTTGTGGACATATATATGTACAGATTATTGAAATTTCCTTTCTCACATTTTGTCAAAAGTGTACTTTATTGGAACTTTAGGCAGAAAGAAAGGGTAGAACTTAGAAGCATAGAGTGTCTGATAATCTTTTTGTATTTTATCTTTCACTCTTGAAACTTGTATTATTACCTGTGTGTTTCTATACAAGGGATTAAAGAAAAAATTGCATCATCTTTATGTTTTTGCTACTCTTAAGATCACCTAAAAGTTATTGGCTACATATACTTCTTACTTGGCCCTGGATCTTGCTGAATGTTTAAATCGCAAAAGCTGAGGAAATTGTAGAATAATTAATTTGCGTACAACTTTTCTACCATTCTACGTTTGTCGCACTAGATATTCTATAGCATAATCTCATATTATCAGATATCACTTAAAAGTACAAGCATGTTATTTTAATTATGAGACACATTCTTGAAAAATAAATGGGAGAAATAGTTTTCTAGTTTCTTACAAATCTTTTTGTTTTAACACGGAAATTTTATTTTGTTGGAATTGAAATTGGCAAAGTTGATACGGATCAACAAACAACCATGGAAGAAGAGATAACTAATCAAGCTCTTGCTGCAATGGAGCTTCACAATCAAATGAAAATCAGAGACAAACACAATCAATTGTTCGATTCTCAGATAGTCTACACTTCAAGTGGCCCAAGAGATGGAAGTTTCACAACCTTTGGATCAAGCAATATAAGTTTTAATCCTGACCATCCAAGCTCATTTAGAAGAGCTGATTTGGAGGCTCAGGAAAGGGCCAAGTTGAAGCAGAAATGAGGCAACAAATAATCCAAATTTTCCTTGATAGATTTATTCAAATTATGTACAAAATAGTACATACATAGCTGTCCAAAATTGGATTGTAGTGATAGCCAATCAGATTTTATACATGTATAGGAATACTTTTGTTTTCTTCTCTTAAGGTATTCTGTATATATACATCACAGCTGAATGAATAGAAAGCAGGAAAAATTTTCCCATTCTTAGTCTCTGATTTTCTACATATTTTTAGACCTAAAAGATGTGAAAAAAGATTATCTCTTCTATTCAAATGGTAAGAGGGAAGGAGATCTCAATAATTTCCTCGTGTGTAAAACAATTCTTCAGTCCTTGCTTCTAGTTTATTTAAAGATCTCTTGGATATTTACAAACTTAATACTATAGAAGAAAAATATGATATTTTTCATATCTTTATATATAAAAATAAATATTTATTACTCCGTAAATACTCTAGAATAGTAAAATTTGTGTCAAAAATAGCATCTATTCAATACGCTGCTGGGTTTCTAACTTTGATGAAGTTATCAAATTGAGAAAGAGGAGGCAGAATATGAATCAAAGGGCAATATCAAGAAGGAGGCCGTCAGGAACCGATGGCTCTGATTTCTCTTACCACATGGTCATCGATTCCAGTACTCTCTCCTCTTCTCCATTTCCCTCAACTCCCATGTTTCATTTAAATCTTCTAAAATTCAATTACTGCGAATTGTCTGGTAGAATACACAAAAGTTGCAAAGGCAAAGTCCCATCTCGCCAAATTGATCTTCGCTCAGGTTTGTACGTTGAACTTGTTTTGTTACTATTACTTAAACATCGCTAGTTTTGTCAAAAATGGTTATTTTTAAGGTGTTGAGATGGTGTTAAATTAGTTGCTCAATAAGATACCACTAATTCATCATTTCAACTTGAATTGTGCCACCATTAACTAATTGACATTTTAGTTTAGGATCCAATAGGATACTGGGGTTTCCAATCCCCTGGTGTTCGATTCGTTCGTGATTGTGTTATTTCTTTCTTGCTGGAACATTGATATTGATAATTAAAATTAAAGGGAAGAAAGAAGAACCCCGATGCTTAACTATTTTATTATCTCGTTTTGAGCATTATATGCATTATGTTTTGGAATAAAAACATTTGAGCATATTGATGTATCATACCACAAAACTTCTGTCATGTGCTGCAGGTAGTCACTCAATTGATTATAGCAGCTAATGTATTTGTTTTATTAATAAAGAAGGAGCCTCCCAATAGAGTTTCCTATTCTGGCAGGGGAACTAGATTTGCTATTGAATCGCATTTGTGAGCTAATCAATTTGGTCATTCACCTTTCAATGGAACATTCTATCTTGTTATAATTAGGTCGAAAGAGAAGCCGATCCTACCTTTTGAAGTTTTATGCCTTTGGGTCGTTGATGTTGATCTTGTTGTCAGTGGCACATCTTGCTATGAGCAATCTCTCATTGGAGGTATGGTTAAGTATTTATTTATGCTAAAATGGGGCTACTAGTTGTTGTTTGAAGGTAGGTAGCTTGTTATAGTTCAACTTTCTCTATTTATGCCCAAAAACGAAAAAAGGTTCCACTTGTCGCTTCATCTTCCTTATCACTCTATTGTTGCCCCTTCTTACTATCACCATCCCCACCTGCTATTGCCTTTGTATCCTTTGTCGAAGATTCCCTGCTCCATGTTCACCAGTCTCGCCGTTCCCTCTATCACTCTATGGTTGCCTCTTTTTAGCATCAAAGTGACCAATTGATATTTTTTATCTCATTGTCCATGAGGTTGGGAAGTGACTTTGGTAGTGTTCCAAATAGTTTTCTTACAGGTTGATTGGTAAAGATGGAAGTAAAAGAATGCCATCAAGCACTAAGTACAATAACTTATTTGGGGTTCAAAAAGTACCATCTTTACAGCCTATCTATTTTTTCATTCCTTCGGAACTAGTCAACCACTTGCGGTGATCCTTCCTCAATTGCAAGTAGTTGGTCATTCTGTTGATTTAATTTGAATTTGCTTCTTTCTTTGATTTCATGCTATCATTTTGGCTTGATCAAAATAATCTAATGATCTTATTGTGTATTTGCTTTCTTCTTTGATATTTTGCCATCTTTTTTACTTGACCAAAAAGTAATCTAGTGATGTTATTTTCTAGACTTTCCAAAATTTTACAAGTTTGGATACTCTAAAGGTTGTCGTTGTCCTACTAGGTAAGCTTAATATTGCAAAGTTGGTTCATCATATGCTGCATACAATTGATCTATTGACCAAGTGCTTGTTCGGCAGGATTTGTAGTGCAACTTTTTGCTATTGGTACAACCATTTCTCTTATTAATAACATAGCACCTCCTAAGAGAGCTTTATGATTATTATTGTAACTATTGTTTATTCCCAATGTGTTTGACTGACTAAAGAGAGGGTTCTTATATGCAATGGCTTCTAGGTAGATGTTGTTGTAAGTTGCCTTTATAAATGCAATTTCTGAAAACTTTTCTGATTTAACATAATCTCATGAGCTTTTGACGTGTTCAACCATAGGTTGTTAGTATATCAGTCCGGATATCTTTATTTTTTATTTCCCTTCTCAGTAAATCTTGGACCGTTTGCTAATCTATCTATGTGGCTAGACTATTTTAGGTTGTCATTGTTTGTTGAGTGTGAATATGCAAAAGATATTTGTACTACATCACACATCAATAGTTTAACCTTGTATTGGGGGAATTTACAATGCTAATTACTAATACTGCAGGTAAACTTTCTGAATAGATTACTACTCAGTAAATTTGTGCTTTGTTCTACAGAAAGTAGTTCAATATGAATAAAATGTATGTTCTATTTTATTCCTTTTACAGCTTTCTCCGAATCACTTAAATACATGAGCATAATTAAGGATATGGATGGGGAGGGTATGGTGGGGCTGGACAAGCCTTAACCCGCAAAAAAATTGATGCACTCTGCACATTTAAGATTTTTTCAAATATTTTTCCTGCCCAACCTGTCACCCGGCCTTGCCCCAACCCTCACCCCGCTCTGCCCCATTTATGCTTTCATTGTTTCTCTTTATATTTTGCTTTCAGACCCACTTGTGGGATTACACTGGGTATGCTGTTGTTGCTTACCTTTTTCTTTATGGTATTTTCTTTATTTTCTTATTCATATAATATTCTTTGTTCTCCTTTTGACCATAAATTGTGTCACTGGTACAGTGGTATCATGTATGTAGTCTTTAAAATATATTCGCCCTAGCATAGTAGCATGCACATTATTCACGTACATAGTAAAACATAATTTCTAGCTAATTTTTTCATAAATGGCCCAGTGGTTTGGGCTTGGGACTTCCATGTTAGAGGTCTCAAGTTCAAAACCTTTTGCCAGCGAAAGCAAGGGGCTTGCCTTTAGGATCGAGCTCGTCGCACCAAAATTTCCTGGTGCGGGTTACCTCTCCGGTGTGGTTTGCGAGCTATTGTATAGGAGTGGGGGTTTTACCCTGTGCGCACCCTAAAGATAGCGGCCGTGAGTTTCCCTTGTCATCAAAAAAAATTATCCATTTTCACGCTCACATTTAACTTTGAGCACTGTTTTCCTGGTAACTTTAAGCATATTATTCTGCTAAATTTGTGTAGTTAATATACACAATACATAACAATTCTTCCTTCAACATATAATTGAAGCTACAGATTCAAAACCAAGAACCTATTTAGTGGTCTGGGCTTGACTAGAGAAGCTCCTGAACAGACAGAAAGTTAATTTTTTCTTAAAAAAATAAAATCCCAATTTAGCTGAGTATGTTGCATTTTATTCCAGAGCAAACTACTACAAGAGGCAGGGTATAGCCTTACCTCTTCAAATACAACTATAGAGACTATCCTACAAAAAATAGGCTATCAACAAAAAGGATTATTGCCTAGCACACCTTTAAAGGAGTAAAGACTTAACTTACAAAAAAATTGACTGTCATATTTGGTCTTAAAACTAGGTACATTGTTCTAATCCATATGGAAGGGTCCCTTGGCCCCATTTGGAAACTACTGGACCAAGAACTAGAGGTTGGTCGTTGAGTATTCATTGCCAATTATGCTAACATATCTGCAAGTTGATTAGCGTCCCTATAGCAATGAGCATACTGGGCATTAATCTGGACAAGCATGCTTGAAGTATCATCTATTATCTTATTCAGCT